TTACCTGTAAGGCCTGACTAGCGAATCCTCCGAAGGAGAGCGGCCCATCAGCAGAGCTTGCAAAGGGAGCCTCTGTAGGTTACATAGAACAAAGCATATTGAAGAAATAAATATATCATGTTTAAGAGTGGTTCTAAGACAGTATCCTGCTGGAAAAGTTTTAGAAATTCGCATACCTTCAATGATGATATCTAGAGCTTTGCTCTGACGAGAAAATGGCTTCATGGGTAGAAGCGGTTGAAAAGAGCGCTGCATGAACAACCGAAAGGAAACTCAAAGTGAAGAGAAATGTGTATGTGATGCATGCGCAAAAACTCTAATTTTGGCTAAATTAGTTGAAGTTCTTTTGTTCAAAAGTTTTGTGTTTACCTGTACTTCCTTATTGGCAAGTTGTGTCACGAAGTAGAAAAGACCCTCATAAAGGATACTTCGGAGCTGTCTAGATAAATCCTCGTCTTCTCCTGAACTTTGCTTGAAAATTATCTGAACTAGTCCCGTCTGTGCACCAAGAAGCTGCTCCGTGACTTCGATGTCTTCGGGTCTTAAGTTGGAGCCTCTAGAAAGTATCCAATAAGCCAAGCATATGCGGAGGATATTTGTAGCCTGCATAAGCAGCATGAAAACGCTATACATATGAGCCACAACTCTGACGAGGCAGGCGTCTGGAAAATGCAACTATATAAGGAACGTAGCGGCATACCTCCATGATGTTGCAGTTGAGCGTTTTTTGCAGCTCTTCTTTTACGGCTGAGAGAGTCTTCGAAGTTTTTTCACTTTCTCTAAAACGATCGATGCAACCGTGTAGAAGTGAATCTTGCAGTTGGGTAGATGACAGTCCTGGGAGGCCTAACATTTGTGGTGTCAATTCGTCAGACAATGCGCCTGCAGCAAAAGGAAACAAGATATGGAACCCGTACTTCTCTTGCATGGCTCTGCAGTGAATTAGTGTGAGCATAAGCAGCATACTAAGGCGGTGTTTCAAAGGCCTGTTGCGCTTACTCTGTACAGCGATAAGTACAATCTTTGGAAGACCTGCATCTGCAGGAGGGGAGTCGCGTATCAAGAAACCTGTGAGGGAGATATTTCTTGCCTGGCCGGTGCTGTTGAAGCCCATGATCCACCTCCACTGACACAAGCTCCATTCTCCCTTGTCAGGAGACGCAATTGTGCTCCAAAGCGCCAACGCCTGTAGTACATGAAACAAACTTCAAGTGCCAAGGATCCTTTTGAAACATTTTCAGGGGTTTCAGAATTTTTGCTGAAATTAAACATTATGAACGCTCTTACATCGTATATCCGACAGACGCTTCTGATGAACAACATCTTCTCCTTCACAGCGAATCCACTCAAAAGGCCGAAACCAGCCAGCAGAGAGGGAACGGTTCGATCACTGCCTGCACAGCCCCACAGAAAGACTTGTGCACAACAGAGAACCAGTCAACAGTTAGCTACTCAATAGAATTTGCGAAACGCCACTGAAAAATATCAGCTTCACTAAAAGGAGAAGAGAGAATAGCCTTACCAT